AGACTCTTGGAGGTTTTCATCTTTTCTGCTGTGAATGGCCCAGGAGTTTCCACCAAGTCATTGTGGATATCGCCCAAGTGAATATTTGTCCAGGTAGTTGGTGATTCTGACCAGAAATTTGGTTTGGTCCAGGCTTTTGTCGGGGTTGAAAAGGGTGATTTGGCTCCATCGATGCTTATGACCAATTTCTAGTCAAATTGTCTTGGGTCCTCTGCTGTTAGAGTGGATAAATAACTGGGATCAATACCCTTTACGTCGACCAAAAATAATTCCCAGCATGCAACGCGTGCTTTTGTCAACAATGAAACTCGCCTATACTAAGCAGGCGAGTTTAATTTTTTTTAAATTTCCAAAACTTAAGCTATAGACTATTATCACGCTGAGATGCGTTCAGTGACCTTTGTGCACGCCTACTTTCGGTGAATTGTCACTCAGTTCATTGAACTCATGATGGACGAACCGAAGTTGTTTACATAGACCACATCCCTTATAAATGTACCGAAAATATCCTTTTCCAACATACATCGTCTCATTGATCAACATTGAATCACAGCCCGCTACAAAGTGGACAACGGACACAGTTTATTTTTTGAAAATTTCACCTACGACTATGAAGGTGAGTGGCTACTAGCGAACATAACTTTACAGTTGACGTACGTGTCAGAGTAGTGGCATTTCCATTTTTTATCAAACTTCCCTGCACTCCGACATTTCTTTATCTTTATCCTTTGGTCGAAGTGGTAGAATCCTATTATTGAAGGCACCACTGTGCGTAAAGGTCCTGGTACTGTGAGTGCAGCCGAGCAACGCGACTACAAGGGACAGATGCTAAGAATTTGGAACTTTATGAATGAAGAGGTTACGGGGCGTTACCTGACACTGCAGGTGGAAGCGTGCGGTGACGCACATTTGGCTCAATGATACGGCCAAGCAGAAAAACTACGAAAAACTGAATTGTGTGACAGTTTGGACATTTTTGTGAATGGACAGGTGCAGGAGACATTCATTATCTGTTGGCAAAGACTAGGGCGCGCGAGAACAGCTGTGAAGCTCAGTGTGTTGCGACAGTGAACCGGTGCTGAGCTCGCAGTCAGATAGAGACACTAAAAAGATCAATGATTTAGGAATCTGGATATTTTCATGAATAAGGGCTAAAATATTAGAATTATACCTGGTCATAGAGGACAGAGGGCTTACACAGGGACCCAGAAATGCGTTGGTCCCTTATAAACTCATAAAGGTTTATAAACTCATAAAAGTTTATAAAGAGGCGGCTGCAGCGCTCATTCTCCTCGTGCCGCACTTAAAGTTGTGGACTTTTACGCACTCGTTAACCTGGCACCTCCACGAGCTCTCACCTGTAGGAGGTCAGGTGTATGTGGCTCCTCTCGTGCCAACAGAGCAGCATGTGTAAAGCTCTGCTCTAATGGCACAGAGCTTTACGCCAAATACCCTAAAATACAGGATGGCGGATCTGTCTCTTTTTCTCTCTCTCATTCAAGATTAGTCCTGGTTTAGTCCTGGTTCATCGGTGTCGGAATGGGGGCATGTCGGGGTGGAGGGTTGTCTGTATGACAGAGTGAGGGTCTGTTGGAGTGTCTGTATGACAGAGTGAGGGTCTGTTGGAGTGTCTGTATGACAGAGTGAGGGTCTGTTGGAGTGTCTGTATGACAGAGTGAGGGTCTGTTGAAGTGTCTGTAGTGTCTGTATGACAGAGTGTCTGTTGGAGTGGTCTGTGACAGAGTGAGGTCTGTTGAGTGTCTGTATGACAGAGTGAGGGTCTGTTGGAGTGTCTGTATGACAGAGTGAGGGTCTGTTGGAGTGTCTGTATGACAGAGTGAGGGTCTGTTGGAGTGTCTGTATGACAGAGTGAGGGTCTGTTGAAGTGTCTGTATGACAGAGTGAGGGTCTGTTGGAGTGTCTGTATGACAGAGTGAGGGTCTGTTGGAGTGTCTGTATGACAGAGTGAGGGTCTGTTGGAGTGTCTGTATGACAGAGTGAGGGTCTGTTGGAGTGTCTGTATGACAGAGTGAGGGTCTGTTGGAGTGTATGACAGAGTGAGGGTCTGTTGGAGTGTCTGTATGACAGAGTGAGGGTCTGTTGGAGTGTATGACAGAGTGAGGGTCTGTTGGAGTGTATGACAGAGTGAGGGTCTGTTGGAGTGTCTGTATGACAGAGTGAGGGTCTGTTGGAGTGTATGACAGAGTGAGGGTCTGTTGGAGTGTCTGTATGACAGAGTGAGGGTCTGTTGGAGTGTCTGTATGACAGAGTGAGGGTCTGTTGGAGTGTCTGTATGACAGAGTGAGGGTCTGTTGGAGTGTCTGTATGACAGAGTGAGGGTCTGTTGGAGTGTCTGTATGACAGAGTGAGGGTCTGTTGGAGTGTATGACAGAGTGAGGGTCTGTTGGAGTGTCTGTATGACAGAGTGAGGGTCTGTTGGAGTGTCTGTATGACAGAGTGAGGGTCTGTTGGAGTGTCTGTATGACAGAGTGAGGGTCTGTTGGAGTGTATGACAGAGTGAGGGTCTGTTGGAGTGTATGACAGAGTGAGGGTCTGTTGGAGTGTATGACAGAGTGAGGGTCTGTTGGAGTGTCTGTATGACAGAGTGAGGGTCTGTTGGAGTGTATGACAGAGTGAGGGTCTGTTGGAGTGTATGACAGAGTGAGGGTCTGTTGGAGTGTATGACAGAGTGAGGGTCTGTTGGAGTGTATGACAGAGTGAGGGTCTGTTGGAGTGTCTGTATGACAGAGTGAGGGTCTGTTGGAGTGTCTGTATGACAGAGTGAGGGTCTGTTGGAGTGTCTGTATGACAGAGTGAGGGTCTGTTGGAGTGTCTGTATGACAGAGTGAGGGTCTGTTGGAGTGTCTGTATGACAGAGTGAGGGTCTGTTGGAGTGTCTGTCTGTTGATGTCTGTATGACAGAGTGAGGGTCTGTTGGAGTGTATGACAGAGTGAGGGTCTGTTGGAGTGTATGACAGAGTGAGGGTCTGTTGGAGTGTATGACAGAGTGAGGGTCTGTTGGAGTGTATGACAGAGTGAGGGTCTGTTGGAGTGTATGACAGAGTGAGGGTCTGTTGGAGTGTCTGTATGACAGAGTGAGGGTCTGTTGGAGTGTATGACAGAGTGAGGGTCTGTTGGAGTGTGTAGCAGAGTGAGGGTCTGTTGGAGTGTATGACAGAGTGAGGGTCTGTTGGAGTGTATGACAGAGTGAGGGTCTGTTGGAGTGTCTGTATGACAGAGTGAGGGTCTGTTGGAGTGTATGACAGAGTGAGGGTCTGTTGGAGTGTATGACAGAGTGAGGGTCTGTTGGAGTGTATGACAGAGTGAGGGTCTGTTGGAGTGTCTGTATGTCGGGACGGGGGTTGTCTGTGCTTTAGAACAGGAGGGTTAGCTTATGCTAACGTCAGTTTGGTGTATGGATATAAGGTGTTTACCCAACATACCCGACAAAAACAAGAGTATTAATTTTGAAATGATGCTAAGTAAATTCCCCCATGTCATTTGTATTGTGAGAGGAAGAACGTTTGCCTCTCAGTTTCAGTCAGCCAACGTTGGCATACGAGTGTCTCTTTTGCTAGCACGTAAAGGAGAAAAAAAAGTCCGTTTTAACCAGGCTTTCTCGGTGCTTTGTTTTCTCAAAGCACCATGATGTTTCGGATCAATGGACTTTACGATGCTATGAGAAAATAAAAAAGACAGAGTGAGAACACCTGTTTGAAGCAACTTTTTTCCTCCTTTTTGTGTCTGATACATTTGTCCTGCTCCCGCTGTGGAGCTTTAACTGGTCCCAGTAACTTCTTTTGCCCATTATAAAGCTATTACAAAGTATTTACAAAGAATATGCACTGATCCTGCTGATTATTTCATAATTTAAAAAGAGCAGTGACATCTAGACATCGTTTGAACCATTGTTGTTGTTGCGCCGGAAGTGGAAGTTCACAAAGTAGATAAACCCCGCCCACAAAACCTGGAAGCGTGATAATGGTCTATTATACTTCTGTAGTATGAGACAATGATGAAAAGATAAAGATTTCCTGTCAAATATCTTTAACGCTTTTTAACCCTCCCACTCTCCTGGTGGGCCAAATAGACCCGAGCAGGTTGCCTGCTCCAGTTGAACCACTCCTTGGGCTTGTGTACAGCTGGGGGCAAGTTGTTTTTTTTTTTAAAGTGTCTATTAATATTAACTATGTTTCGACTGGTATTCCAGTCTTCTTCAGGATTAGGGTTAGGGTTAGAATCTGTGTTTAATGTCTGCCCCCGTAGGAGACAGACAAGGCTCTGGCTCTCCCACAGCTGCAGGAGCACTGACCTCCACTGCTCTGCAGCAGAGGTAATGGTGTCGGTGTCGGTGTCCATCCACGGGGACCACGGGAACGGCGCCCGTGATGGACCAGAATCCATCCCAACATGATGGAAGGAATGTAAAGAGTATATGTTTTTTGGTTGTTTTTTATTTTAAAAGGAATAAAAGAAATTAAATGAAATGAATAAATTGAAATGAATAAACAAAAGAGAGAGAGAGAAAGTGAGAAAAAAGGTGAGAAATTTTTTGTAAACAAGTGCCCAGAAAGGACGTTTCGACTGGTAATCCAGTCTTCTTCAGGTTCGGGCACAAGAGAAAGTAGAATCTGCAATAAAGGTGAGTGTGTTCAGTAGAAGATACGTGTCTTCTTCTGTTGAGCAGGAGAGAATGAGCAGCAGAGGACTGCTGTCTGCTTATAAAGGAGCAGGAGGAGGAGTCCCAGGACAAGGGGCCAATCAGATAGCTTCAGTGTAACAACTGTCAGAAAAAGCAACCACCTCAGTCATGGTGCCAGTCATCAAAGGAGGGTCAAAATAAACTTTAAGCCAATTGAGGTTGGTCAAATCAATTTTAATTTGTTATTTTGTTGTAAAGGTGAGTATTTACATTTTTAATAACTTAATATTAAGTTAAGTAGGGGGTTTGGAGTCGGGTTAGGGTTAGGGTTGGGGGATAGGGTTAGGGTTAGTATTAAATGTCTGCCTCCCGTAGGAGACAGACGAGGCTCTGGCACTCGTACGGCTGCCGGAACGCTGAGGCCCGCTGCGCTGCAGCACAGGAGCCAGGGTCCCACCATGGGGCCCGCGGGAACGCCGCCCACGGTGGACCAAGGCCCATCCAGGCATAACGATGATAAAGTAGAATAAATAAGTGGAAATGAATGAGAAATGTATGTGAAAAGTCTATATTTTTTTGTGATTTTTTTGTTTTTTTATTAAAATAAACAAGGAAATAAAAAATGGGAAATTTACAGTGTTCAAGACGCACATCCAGCATGTCAACTCCTCCCATGGAATCATTGTACTCCTGGATGTTCAGCTGATCTGGTCTGGGTTGTCATGGCAACCTGTTCACCTTGAAAGCTCACATCAGGCAACTCAAAGCCTTTCTTTTGCCACCTGTAAGCTTTCAAGGTGAATGGGTTGTCATGGCAACCTGTTCACCTTGAAAGCTCACATCAGGCAACTCAAAGCCTTTCTTTTGCCACCTGTAAGCTTTTGCGGCACGATTTGGCTCCATCTGTGAGCTAGCAGTCTCGGCAAACGGCACATCCTCATCATTGGACGAGTCATTGTCTTGGGCAGAAGATTCACATCATCACTTTCAACATCTGGTTGAAACAATTAATCACAGCAGGCTTCAGCTGCTGGACAAAACTGACTTGTCCCAAACACTGGTTTTGTCTATGGCATCTATGGACCATCGACCTGACATCAAACTACAGCTGCTGCAGGTTTTGAAGCTCCTCTCTTGCTCCTCCGACTTGAACTGTGGGCAAATACTGAAGGCCCGGGGAGCTGAGAGCATCTGTCTGCACATGAACGAGTCGGAGTCTACCGGGCCAGTCCTGGTTCGCTCCACCGAGATCCTCTGGAACCTTCTGGAGGGTGGAAATAAGCACAGAGCTGTGGCCCAACTCAGCACCATCGAGTGTCTAGTATCTCTGAAAGAGGCTTTTCTACACCAGCTGTTGACAGCGGTTCACCATTCAGAGCTGAGCCTCAGAAACGACCTGCTCGTCCTCACAACACGAATTGCTGAAAACAGCAACACTTTTCTCATTGAGAGTCTCTTCGCTAAACTGCTCATATCATTGTCCACATACCCAGAATTAAGACCCACCAATCCTTTGCTCATCAATTTAAAGCTGAACTACTGTCATGAAGACTTGAAAATGAAAAAGATGCTTCTAAATCTATTGTCCGTGATGTCTGTTGATGCGACTGTTTTGCAGCTTTACAAAGAGGAAAAAGTGCTCCTGTCTCTCCTGCTCCTCACTAAACCTCTGCCCGTCTCTCCCCGGATTCACTCTGCATCTCGAAGCTGGTCCTCAGTCCAGTCTCAGGAGCTATGTCTGAAGGCTCTGGAGACTCTGTGTTCTATCGCCCCCTACCTGCTGGACGAGTACATGTCCTATCACGGCAACGCCTTTGTGCTGAGGCTCATGGACTGGTGCACTCATGACGATGAAGTCCCTGATCAGACCCGAGGCACTACTGGTCTTATAGGAGACTGTAGAAAGACCCTGCTGCACTTTTGTGTCAGGCTCCTCACTGTAGTCACTTCACAGGGAGAGGAGACCGTCAACCAGGACCTGTGTGACCGGGGCGCCATCGGTGACCTGCTGGGTGTGTTGATGCAGATGGAGGCAAGCTCTGATGAGGACGACGAAGTTTCTTTGGAGATTAAATTCTACATTCAGTTCATCCTCTCTACTCTGTGTGAGAGCGACATGCACAGGAAGGAGCTGTTTGGGTCTGAAGGAGTTGAAATGGTCATTCACTTCCTGAAGAAAGGCTGTGATCTGTTTTACAGCGGTTTAGGGCACAACAAACTCCTCCTCTCCACTGTCGACTGTGTTTGGTCTTGCATTGTTGGCTGCTACACAACTGAAGATTTCTTTCTGGCCAAAGAGGGAGTCTGTTTACTGCTTGATCTGCTATGTTCGAGTCCCAAATGTGTCCACAGCCTGATTTTGTCCACCCTTCTGGAGATATGTGAAAACCCAAACACAGGGTCCCATCTGAGGAGCTGGACGGATCGAACCGGACAAACAGCCCCTAGAGTCCTTCTGCAGATGTGGAGGGACGAGGAGGCCGAGCTCGGGGTGCAAAGAAACCAGGAGGGGTGCATCACAGATCCCAAAAAGCCACTTTATCATAAGCAGCAGGAGGAAACACAAAGCCTGTGCCTGGATGGATCGTCCAGTGCTTCAATTCTGGAGATAGGGGAGAATCTGAGGGCAAAAATTTACCTGATCTTCTGTGCAGTCGGATTTCATGACCTTCCTGGGTTATCAACTGAGGACTATGTGACACTGAGTATTGTTAAGAGATATCTGGATTTTAAGGTTGGAGAGGTGTGGGACGAGGTCAGTGCACAGCTGACTCATGAGGACATCAGACCCATAACTCCAGACAGAGAGAATTTAGAAACTATTTGTCAGATATCAGAGGACAAGGCCAAAAGAGTCATGGAGGAGCAGAGCAGCCTTCTACAGAGACAAGAGAAGGAAGATCTGACCCAGGAGCAGCTCATGTACACCGAGATCATATCTCGCATGAAACGACAAGAACTTGTCCAAAAATCTTGGAACGATTATGTTTCCAGGACATCCAACTATGAGGTTCTCAAGGAGGTGAAAGCTCAGAGAGAGTTGTCCAGAGCTAAAGTGAAGACTGAAGAGGACGGAATTCATCCTGTAAAGCACTTCATAGGCCAGGTGCTGTCCATGGAGATGACAGGAGCAGAGGGACCAGAGGGGGTCAAAGTCTCTTTAGCCCGAGTCGCTATCAAGCCCAAAGGTCCAGACCCGGTCCAGACCAGCCCAAACCCAGACCCGGAGTACTTCAGACCTGTCTCTGTTAAACACTGAATCGAATACACACATAAGATTAGGACAATATGGGATGGTGGACATTTTGATTGCACATTTGAGGAGAAGAGACACTGTGGTTTTGAATGGACAGAGATCAGGACGTGGACACAATCAAAGCCTTGTTGTCTGGAGACCACAGAACAAACTGAGGAGTCTTTATAACTCAACATGTGCGATGCAGCTAAATAGAAATGAACCGTCGACACAGAATAACATTATATTCTGTTAAATTCCACTGAAGTGACTCTTAAACGACGCATAAAGTCATGTTATAATGTTGTTATCTCACTAAAAAAACATACCCAGAGTAGAGTTTTAGTATTAAATGTCTGCCTCCCGTAGGAGACAGACGAGGCTCTGGCACTCGTACGGCTGCCGGAACGCTGAGACCCGCTGCGCTGCAGCACAGGAGCCAGGGTCCCACCACGGGGCCCGCGGGAACGCCGCCCACGGTGGACCAAGGCCCATCCAGGCATAACGATGATAAAGTAGAATAAATAAATGGAAATGAATGAGAAATGTACGTGAAAAGTCTATTTTTTGTGATTTTTTTGTTTTTTTATTAAAATAAACAAGGAAATAAAAACAAAATGGAGGGTTAGGGTTAATTAGGGTTAGGGTTAGGTAAGAGGGTTGGGGTTGGTGGGGTCAAGGTTAAGTCTATAATGTGTAACTTCTAATTAAGTCCTCTGGGACGTTTCGTATCCAATAGGAACAGCCACCTGCTCAAGGTCTCCTGTCTTTCTGCTGCTGTCCAAAAGATGTTGCTCTGGAGTCCAGCTATCCTAACTGAATGCAGACCATGGGATGCAAAATGAGAAATCAAATGGGAATTCAAAAGGGAGGATGTCTCTCTCAAAGAAGGAGTATTCATGTGTGATGTAATGTTTTTTTTTTTTGTGTCGGAGCATACAAATCGCAAGCGAATTTTTTGTAGCTCCCACGTACTGTGATCCGCGTTGTGAACAGAAAATTAAGTAGACACAACTGTATGTGTAAGAGGTAAAGAATTGATGGATTTTGAATATTGCCCGTGATGTTCTGTTTTGTATATACTGTTTTTGGACTAAAACTCCTTCTAATAAATTGGGTCTGGGTACCTGGTGGGGGGATTTAAGTTTAGCCCTCACCAAGAAATCCTTGAGATTTTTGCCTCTTTTGTAGGCTGAGATCGCCCTGTGGTGAGGCAAAAGGCCCTGTTCAAAGATAAGGGCTTTGTAATTCTGTTTTAGAGTGTGGTGTATTTTTGTGGCCATTGTGGAAAAGGTGGTGATCAAAGGAATCACCTCCCTTCTCTGTACTTTGGCAGCAGAGGTGTCAAATGTGTGTAGACACTCCCTCAAAAATGATTTTTGATATCGCCTCCTCCTCAGGGCCTGGAATAAAATTTTAACTGCCTGTACAAAGTCTGAATGCTGGGTACAGATGCGTTTAAACCAAATTAATTGTGATTTTATTAACCCTTTAAATGTATGTTTGGGGTGGAAACTAGATTTGTAGAGTAGGGCATGTGTGTCCGTGGGTTTAAAGAACACTTTAATGTCCAGTTTCTGCTGGGACTGAAAACGAAGTCCTTTGTAGAGTGTGGTGTCCAAAAAGTCAATGGAGTCTTGTGAAATGATATGTTTGATGGTAATGGAAGGGTCATGTGTGTTTAGAATTTGAAAAAAATTATTAAAGTCGTCTTTTGAATGGGTCCAAATTCCAAAAATGTCGTCCAGGTATCGTAGGTATACTAAGGGTTTCAAAGGACACTTGTCCAGTGCCTTTTCCTCCCAGTATGCCATAAATATATTGGCATAAGCTGGAGCAAATTTTTTGCCCATTGCCGTCCCTTTAATTTGTAAATAAAATTGTCCTTCGAATTCAAAGTCATTTCTGGTCAAATTGATTTCCAATAACTGGAGAAGTTCAGGGTTTGGTCATTTGGGGTCGGGGTATTTGAGGAAAATGTCTGTTACTGTCCTAATACCTGCCTGTATATCTATGTTTGCTGGGTGTGTTGATGCAGATGGAGGCAAGCTCTGATGAGGATGACGCAGTTTCTTTGGAGATAAAATCCAACATTCAGTTCATCCTCTCTACTCTTGTTGAGAGCGACATGCACAGGAAGGAGCTGTTTGGGTCTGAAGGAGTTGAAATGGTCATTCACTTCCTGAAGAAAGGCTGTGATCTGTTTTACAGCGGTTTAGGGCACAACAAACTCCTCCTCTCCACTGTCAACTGTGTTTGGTCTTGCATTGTTGGCTGCTACACAACTGAAGATTTCTTTCTGGCCAAAGAGGGAGTCTGTTTACTGCTTGATCTGCTATGTTCAAGTCCCAAATGTGTCCACAGCCTGATTTTGTCCACCCTTCTGGAGATATGTGAAAACCCAAACACAGGGTCCCATCTGAGGAGCTGGACGGATCGAACCGGACAAACAGCCCCTAGAGTCCTTCTGCAGATGTGGAGGGACGAGGAGGCCGAGCTCGGGGTGCAAAGAAACCAGGAGGGGTGCATCACAAATCCCAAAAAGCCACTTTATCATAAGCAGCAGGAGGAAACACAAAGCCTGTGCCTGGATGGATCGTCCAGTGCTTCAATTCTGGAGATAGGGGAGAATCTGAGGGCAAAAATTTACCTGATCTTCTGTGCAGTCGGATTTCATGACCTTCCTGGGTTATCAACTGAGGACTATGTGACACTGAGTATTGTTAAGAGATATCTGGATTTTAAGGTTGGAGAGGTGTGGACGACGAGGTCAGTGCACAGCTGACTCATGAGGACATCAGACCCATAACTCCAGACAGAGAGAATTTAGAAACTATTTGTCAGATATCAGAGGACAAGGCCAAAAGAGTCATGGAGGAGCAGAGCAGCCTTCTACAGAGACAAGAGAAGGAAGATCTGACCCAGGAGCAGCTCATGTACACCGAGATCATATCTCGCATGAAACGACAAGAACTTGTCCAAAATCTTGGAACGATTATGTTGACACAGAATAACATTATATTCTGTTAAATTACACTGAAGTGACTCTTAAACGACGCATAAATTCATGTTATAATGTTGTTATCTCACTAAAAAACATACCCAGAGTAGAGTTTTATTAATAGACACTTTGTAAAAAAAAAAATTGGCCCCTGCTGTATACAGTCAGTAGTGCATGCACAAAAATGAGACACAGCTGTACACAAGTCGAAGTGGTTCAACTGTTGCCTGCTCCAGTTGACACACTCCCTCCCGCTCTCCTGGTGGGTCAGATAGACCCAAATTTATTTTTATTTTTTTCCTTTATATATATTTAAAACCCTCCCGCTCTCCTGGCGGGTCAAACAGACCCCAATTATTATATATATATATATTTTTTCCCTTTATATATAATCCCTCTCCCCTTCCCCGGGCCCTTTTCTGCCTCACACACTGCCCGTTCAGTGTTATTGTGATTTAAATCCACACTGAATGAAGGTCAGATATTTTCTGCTGTAACTTCTGTCCCTGTAGTAAGGTTTTGAGTGAAATTCCACTTTGTTTGTTTTGCTCAAACAGACAGAGGTGAATTTGAAAATTTCACGTTCCAACTCTGAGAAGTGGCCTGGCTTCTTCCTGTTACGATCATTAAAGAGGATGATTTGGAAAAAAATCTAGAGTGTGTAAATAAATGTGTGTTGAAATCGTGTCGTTGACAATCATCACTGTGGGATCTAAAGCGAGTCTCTGGTCTTTTCCTCACATCTTGTTTGAAATGTTAGTCATGACCACAGCACAGCACACACACTCCTCTTCCACACCTCCTGTCTGCATGCAGCTTTGCAAAATAAAAGCTCTTTTCCTCTTTCCTTTTTTTTTTTTTTTTAATATGACGAGACTAACTACTATAGTAATAACTATAGCTTCTGTTTCAGACATGTCCTCCTCCTCCTCCTCCACCACCACCAGAGACCGGAGCTCTGAGGAGGAGATGTTCCTGTGCTCCATCTGCTGTCTGGAGGTGTTTGAAGAGCCACTGTCCACTCCATGTGGACACAACTCGTGCAGAGGACGCTGCATCTCTCAGGCCTGGGACACTGATGAGCCCTGCTGCACATGTCCTCTGTGTAATGAGGTGTTTCACAGCAGCAGACCAGAGCTCAAGATCAACACGCTCCTGAAGAAGGAGACGGCCTCAAGGTCTAACCTGCAGAAGAACAAGAGCAGCAGCTGCTGGTCTATGGAAGACAGACCAGAATTTTAAGTTTTTGGGTTTCAATGTTTATGATTTTAATACATGTGTCATATAGACCCACCCACCTTGGCCATATTTTTTATATATTATAAAAATGATGAATAAAATAAGTAAATGTATACTCAAGCCTTTGTCTTTGTGATTAATTTTGTTTATTACATTCATGACAATAAAAAAAGATAAACATGTCTTAATACTACTAGATTGGTGCTTCTTCATTTTGCTTCATTCATGGCAACAGGTCACTCGTATGTCACAGTGTTCCTGCGGGTTAACTTTTGGTGGTGGTGGTGGTTGTTGTTGTTGGTCTTCATGTCTGTCTTCTTTTTCTTCTTCTTCATTTGCTGCTCTCAAAACTGCACGGAGCTTGTTCAGAAACTGATTGCCTCCAGAATTGACCGAGTGTAAGCCTTCGTGGTAGTGTGACAGTTTGAACTCATGCAGTAGAGTGAAAGGGGGCTGCGCACACACGCGGACCATCTCTAACATGGCATCGCGCATCCTCTGCAGCGTCGCTTGGCTTTCTCCGGCTTCGGCCGCCGCTGTGACGATGACCTGCAAGGCCGCTGCGGTGGCTTGTGTTCCTCGTCCTCCTCCTCCTCCTTGTGCTCCTGCTGCTCTACACTGTAAACCCAAATTTTCTTTTACATATTAAGCCAAGCTAATATTACTAATCTTTTTAATATTTTGCAAAAGGCGGGACCATTACTAAACAAAGTGTGAATTGTAAACTATTTTAAACTAGTATTTGCTGTACTAATGGCTCTGAGTGGAGACGGCTCACACTTGTATGTTTTTACCGGTGAAGGGAGAGACTTGGCACCTGAACACGCCCAAACTGCACCAAACCACATTTGACTTCTGCTCGGACTGTTGGCTGCAATTCAGCATCAGTTCGCTTTATCATCGTATGGTAAGTGAATAAATATGGTTTATGTTGAGACTGAATAGTTGGAGACATTGGTTGACGCTTGTAGCCAAATAAGGCTAACGTGAAGTTCACTTGTGGTCACGTTGCGCTCGCTATCATCTGTTAGCCACTAACAGAACAGCTAATGCTAACAGTTAACGCTGTGTGAGCCGGTAGAGATGAACGGAGGGCAAACTCCGCGGCTAAACCGCGGCTCGGGCGGATCACGCGACGAAAAATACAGTTTGAATCAAACTCGGGCGGGTGGCGGTTTAACGACGCATGGACCCATAGAAGTCCTCACGGGCGCCGTGTCCTCTCACGTACACCGTGTGCACTGCGCCTCAGAACTAAACCAGGTCTAAAACCAAGACTAAAACAGAATTTTAGAATGAATGTATAGAGTTGGTGTTTTTTTTTTTTTTTTTTTTGGTTTTTTTTTTATCGAGACTCGTTTTCGTTGTTTGCTATATGATTGTTCTAAAATCTAAAACCGTGGGTGCAAATGGAGAGTTTGGAGTTCAAGTTTTTAGATCATCACCACAAAATTGCATATAAGATTTGGTTGGAATTAAACACTAAAACATATTTTTGTGTTTTACAGGTGACTACCCAACATGCTGTGGAGCTGTAAATACTGTGAGTTCAGCTGTGATAAGAGAGGTTACTACCTCAGACACTACAGACCACTAATTTCTTTCTTTCTTTTTTTTTTTTTTTTTTTTTTTAGATTTGTCTGAAATTCAAAAGGATTGATAACCACACTACCCATTTTATTGAAAGTTTTAAAGCTAAGAGGGGCAGCGTGGGTGACAGTTGGCACAGCTTTTGCAGCAAATGCAGGTAAAACTTTTGTAACCCGGATAAAAATACATGTGCAGTAAAAGCATAAGTTCATAACATAGTTAATCTAAAATGGATAAAAAGATAATAAATTTTTATTAAAATACATAGTTCATGTTAATGGTTAAATGTATATTTACAGAAGTGTTTGCGTCTCTGTATATTTCTTTTAATTTATCATACAGTATCCATTTTCTGTCTTACAGTCACTGGATTCTACTGAAAAAAGGACAGTCACACTAAGAGGGCTTCCTTACTTACTCGGAGACAATCCCACTGAATTCTTCAAATCTAGAAGCTTTGTAAGTGTACATTTTGTTTGCAATGTGAAACTTTTAGAATGTGACATTTATTGTATAATTTGAATATGCCAAAACTGACAAATAGTCTATACATTACGAGCTCCAGCCATTCCATAAATATTATTTATCTTAAAGTCAGATTATTATTGATTTTCAAATATTTGTTTGAACATTTGAAAATGCTTGACCAAATAGTTATCATGTCAGCATAAATTGAATTTCATACAATTTATGTTTTGTCATTCTTATTGATAGTCTGTTGTAGTTCAGTAATTTCATTCACTAATGGTTATGTTTCTGGCATTAATTGTTTTGTTTTTCTTTAGGATGGTGATGAATCCTTTGGCCAAATGGACATTGGGATCTTGTTAGTAAATCTGAAGGTGTCTCTCTTCCAACACCAGATCTTCACCCAGCTGCCTGAAAATCATCATTGAGGGTGAAATTGTTATGGACAAGCTGACGACCCTTATAACCCCTTGTTTGAATTGTGAAATGTAAAACACAAAAGCAAATGCTGTTACAGGGAACAAACAGAAGACTGCACTTTATTCAGGTTTAAGCATGTTACTGTTGCACTATTTTTGCAATAAATTTGTGAGAAAAATTGTCATTTTATGTCAATTATTTAAAAAAATATTATGATTTATAATTTGCATCTAATTATTATAAATAATAAACAATCAATAAATACTCATAAATATGAGAAATACATACTGATAAAAATAAGTAATGATTACTGTAATACACAAGTAATGGTTAGTTAATTACTTGTAAACATTAGTTTTAGAAACTTAAGTTCTTTAGTAATGGGTTATCTCGGACAGAAGACTTTATGTAAACAGAGCTTGATTTGTTTAGTTTTTGATATTGTAAAAACTAGACAACCCAGTGCAATCACTTACCACGCGCGGTTTTAGTAATGATTACTAATTTGGGTTTACAGTGTAGAAGCCCCCTGTGATCCTCCATGAGCCCCAGGCGGCCATGGATCCATGTTTAAAATTGTACTTGAACTTTAAAATTTTTCTTTTATAGGACTGACAAAAGGACACAGACAGACAAGGACAAGGATAAGGACAAGGACAAGGTGGTGGTGGTGGAGTTTTACCCAGGCTGGTGCCACTTAGTGCCTCCACTCAATTTTAATTTCTCTCCGGTGACTAGGTCAGGAATCACAGCCTTTGTACTGTGGCGGGAGCTCAACCCCACGTGGATGTCAGCGAGACGCAACAAGAGAAGGATATTTCTGGAGCAACTCGGCAAAGAACTTGTGACGCTGCTCATCCAGAGGTGACGGTGTATGCCCCGCACGGAAACGTCCCTGGCTGTGGTTCGAGGCATTCAACAGCGACAGCGACAGCAGCGGCAGGAAGAAGAAGAACAAGAACAAGAAGAACAAGAACAAGAAGCTGCCAGGGACAGGGACAGAGCCTCTGTGGCGGTGATGCCGAGACCAAAGCCAACGCCACGGACAAGGACTGAAGGGGACCCTTTGGGGGAGGAGCAAGAGGAGCAAGAGGGCAACAGACCAAAAACAAGCAATAAAAGAAAGAGGTGTCAAATATGCCCCAGCAAAAAGGACCGGAAAACACAGACTGTTTGCTCGGAATGTAACAAATACATGTGCAGACAATGTAGCGTACAATTTTGTCAGCCTTGCTCAAACACACTCAGAGGAGAAGACTGACGACGAGATGGTACAGATGATGTCTGACAATAGTGAGAGGTGCACAGACTACACTGTAAGTCATTACTTACTTACTTATTTACTTACTTACAAAACCAGTAACCTTGTATACATAACAAACTAATAAAATATATTAATAATACAAATAATATTGTATTTTCTATCTTTCCACATCTTTGTTGCAGATTCTGCCCTCTGCAAATATGTTTAATCGATTTATACTAATCTTACTTCTGCTGCTGCTGCAGTGTTCAGGTGAGTTTGTAATTTTAATATTGCTATATAAATATAAATAACAGCACAAAATGTAGCCTTGTCATCACTCAGTAACTGTGCTTTACATTGTAACAAGAAACATTGCATAGTGAAGACCTCTGTCTCTGTGTGTGTGTGTGTGTGTGTGTGTGTGTGTGCGTGCGTGTGTGAACTCATGTATCTTCTGTTACTATATTTTTAGCCCTACCTACCTACCTACCTACTTACAGTACCTACATATCTGTGCATGTTTTTACAGTAGGGGCCGAGTGCTGTGGTTTGCCAGCTGATCTGTCCATTACGACCTCAGCATCTAACAATTTAAGGCTGGAGGCTTTGAGAGGCTCCTGTTTGCAGATCCCATGCACATATACACCCTCATCTAAAATCAACAGTACTACATGGATTACACAGCCTATAGTGGGTGTTTGGCTTAAAAATAGGTATATAGCAAGTGTACCGCATGTCTTTTCAGTCAGCGGAGTCAAGTCTTATCCCATGAATATCACTGGGCACTTACAAAACAAATCCTGCAACACTGTGTTTTATGACTTAAAAAAAGCGGATGAAGGCAACTATTACTTCAGAGTAGTGAGCAGAGATTTCTCAGCCACAGCAGTTTGTGACCCTCTTTACATAACAGTCAGAGGTAAGACCACGACCACGACCACGACCACGATGACCCTTTTCCTATTTCTTCCGTGTTTAGTGACATTAAAACCTTTGGATGTTGATTATCCTCATTAAATGAGAAAATAAAACAATGTAATTACAAATAGCACCTCACTCACTCTGATCAGTAGTAGTAGTAGTAGTAGTAGTAGTAGTAGTAGTACTAGTAGTAGTAGTAGTAGTAGTAGTAGTACTAGTAGTAGTAGTAGTAGGGTGTGTGTGTGTTTTTTGTTTTGTTTGTTTGTTTGTTTTTCTTTTACTTCACAGACTCTCCCTGGAGTCCCACACTAAAAGTCTGTGGTGAACAGAGAGAGACAGAGGTGGTGACTATTACCTGCTCAGCTGTCACGCCCTGTCCTCTTCACTTTCCTCAGCTCACGTGGAACCTCGGGCAAAACCACCATGGGAGTTTTGTTCTTACAGACCACAAAATAGTCCCCAACGCACAGGGGACATATAGCACTACAATCACACACAACATGACTGTAGGAGCCATTCGTGGGTGTTCTATTGGTTTCCTCACGTGACCCATGTGCACTATACTGCGGTGTCTGGGGGCGGCACGGTGGGTGTGGTGTGGCCTATATATGCGCGCGCTCACCTGCTGAGTGGAAGGCCTTGTATCATGGTGGCGGGGTGAGCACGGGGAGCAACTTTCTGTTGACCGTATTTTAACAGGAAAGATTTGCATATAGAAGCTATCGGTGCATGGCTACGGACGGCAGCAGCTTTACAGTAAGTGCTCTAACGCGTACGCCTACTATGACAATCAAGTACCGTGTATATGCATTTGTTCAGAGTTACGCGTCCACAGTGTTTTACCCCGTGTCTTAGCCCGCCGCGGCGTGTGGGATGAGCATTGGGCTACATACGCCGCAATATTTTGTCAACAGAAACTTGTTGAAGCGTGGATTTCATCGTATTGTCGTGCAAGTATCTGGATGTTTTGGATCGCTTTCGGAGTTGTGAACGATAGACGTGAACGCGCATGGATTTCTCGTGAGCCCATTCATTCACAAATTTGCTGCGCTACACGACGTCACAGCCACTTTTGATTAAAGGTACTGCATGTTGTTGTAAATATTTTGGATTATTGATTGTTAATTATATATCCCCGGCTAGGCTTTAGTGGTGCTTTCACATAAGGTGAAGCACTTTCGCGTTGTTCTGGGACCCGGTTAGGGCTTCGCTTGTGCGTCAAGCGGGTGAAGCATTGCGCTTGGGAGTGCCGCCGTAGTTCTGGTTCTGAGACAGTTTGTCTGGTTCCAGTCTATCGGTATATCCGAGGTACATAACAACCCACCGCTAGTACGTGCAGAAGACTAGGGTTGAGTTAGCTTAGCGCCGGTGGATAGTTAGGGGGAATAAGATTTCTTTCAGCAACTTGTACCGTTTTAATAAAACTCATAAAATAATAAAAAAATAAGAAAAGTAAATAAGAAAATAAAAATAAAGCGCTGTGTTGTGTGTGAGTGCAGACTTTTGTGATTATTGTGATTTTGTGAATGAAAATGGAGACTGATTCCAGGTCAAATGTTGGAAAGGAAACAATTAAGAGGCAATCAAAACTCACTCCCAAAGCCTTGGAACATAAAGTGGAAAAGCTTCAAGATGAAAGAAAAGCAAAAGTGAAAAGGATTAAAAGTTCAATACGGGACATTACAGAGTTGAAGAAAAATCCTGCAAATGTTGAAAAGGTAAGATCATGTCTTGAGATTGTGTCCAGTTTGTACAGTGAGGCCTGTCGGCTGCATGATCTAGTTGTTCCTATGCTCCCTCCTGATGAACAAAAGAAACAAAACGAGTGGTTTGATAGCGTGGAGGAGCATAAAAGTACCTTTGTGGAGGAGACAAATAAATGGCTCCTGGAGGGTGCCAGCTGTTTCGGATGTCACACATAGACTGGCAGAGGGCGCCATTGAACCATCTGCTCCATCTGTAGATCCACCTCTGTCCAATGGCAGTGGTGTAGGCGCACGAAGGGGTTTGGAAAATACAGCTGAGGAAATCGGGCCGAGTGATAGTGTCTCTAATGTATCCAATCAATCAAAGAAGCGCAGCACGGTGGTGAGTAAGTGTGTGTCCTCCACTGTGTCTTCCACGTCCTCTGCCAGACTGAAGGCTGAGGCCGAGACCGCCGCTCTTATGGCTCGGCAGAGGCTTCTGAGAGAGAAGCATGCTCTGGAGGAGCAGCAGGAGCAACTGCGCAGGAAAATGGAGGAGCAGCAGGAGTTGTTGAGGAGGAAGAAAGAGGAGCTTGATCTGGACATGGAGTTGGCTGCCTCTATGGCCAGAATAAGCGTATTTAAGGCCTCAGAAGGATCTCACACTTCTGCTAAATCAGATGGGATGAATTCCTATTTGAAGAAAACAAAAACTGTTCAGTTAAATGTAGATGCTGCTTCATTCGTGCCTGCATTTGCCACCCAGCCATCACAGATGGAAGCCGCGGGGAGTACTCTGCTTTCAGGTTCTGCCGCTACAAAGCCTAAGGTGAATTACCAGGCTGAGCTCCAAACTGCTGTTAGTGGGGCCGGTCTGTCAGTGCTACCCAGCAGGGAAGTATACCGAGACGTTCCTTTCACCCAGTCTGATCCACCCAAACTTACGACACAGAACACTTCTGATCAGCGTTTACTTACGGTTCTAGAGAAACAAAATGAGATCACATCCTTGTTGGCTGAACAACAGTCACTCTTTCTCCTGCCCAAGAGGGACTTGCATACCTTCGACGGAGATCCTTTACAATATCAGACCTTCATCAGTGCTTTTGAGCACAATATTGAAGCCAAAACTCAAAACCACAAAGACCGTTTATATTACCTTGAACAGTATACTCGAGGTCAGCCCAGGGATTTGGTCCGAAGCTGCCAACACCTGCCTCCTGCTTGTGGGTACATTCAAGCTAAGAGGCTGCTTCAAGAACATTTTGGGGACCCATTCAAAGTGGCTTCTGCATATATGGGGAAGGTGCTGGCCTGGCCTGTGGTGAAAGGTGAGGACGTGGAGGCGCTTCGGGCCTACGGTTTGTTGCTCCGCGAGTGCTGCAATTCTATGGGAGACTGTGTGGGAGACCTGAATGTTCCTACCAACATGCAAACAATCATCAAGAAGTTGCCATATAAGCTCAGGGACCACTGGAGGAATGTGGCCTGTGATATTCAGGAAAGGTTTTCTCGTAGAGCCACGTTCAACGATATTGTAAAGTTTGTCGAGAGACAAGTGAAGATCGTAAGTGACCCTCTGTTTGGGGACATACAGGACTCCCCAGGGACAAGAAAAGGGGACTTCAAACCTGTGACTCCTCGGACCAGTCTAAAACCCAAAGGTAGTAGTTTTGCCACTACAGTAACGCCGACAGAAAGAGATGACCCTGTAAATAAAGGCGAGAACCTGCCTGTAAAAATGTGCTTATTTTGTGGAGCTGGTCATGCTTTGGATGTTTGCCTTCTGTTGGATAAGAAGACTCAAGATGAAAAGATGTCTTTTGTGAAGGAAAACCAATTGTGCTTTGGTTGTTTGTGTATTGGGCACAGAAGTCGAGATTGCAGGAATCGTCTGACATGTAGAATGTGCAATCGTAAGCACCCCACATTGTTGCATGTTCCCTCCAGATCTAGACAAGGTGGTTTGTCACAGGCAAGTAGCTGTTCAGAGAAGGCCAGAGAAGGCGCTGTGGTGTCTGTTCAATCTAGTGGGTTAACTGGGGCCGGAAAACAGAACTGTACATTGTCAATCCTGCCTGTCCAGGTAAAGTCCAAAAGAGGGCATGAGACTTTGCTGACATATGCGTTTTTAGATCCAGGGAGCACTGCTTCATTTTGCACGGAGCGGCTCATGAACAGACTCAACCTCAGTGGTAAGAGTTGGGAATTCTCCTCCGGACAATGGGACAGGAGAAAGTGGTGGACAGCTACATGCTCACCGACTTGGAAGTAGCTGGACTTGGCTCTGACCATTTCTGTAACTTGCCAGAAATCTTCACTCAACACAGCATGCCTGTTCACAGGGGAAACATTCCATGTACGAAGGACCTTCGACGATGGCCACATTTAAATCACATAAACATCCCGGAGATCAAGGCAGAAGTGGATCTTCTGATTGGGACCAATGTACCTCAGGCACTGGAGCCGTGGGAGGTTGTGCGAGCAGAGGGTGGAGGTCCTTATGCCATTAAAACCATCCTTGGTTGGACCGTGAATGGCCCGCTAAGAGGAGTATGTCATGCCAGTGGTGAGGGCTTGCAACCTGATGTCACAGTTAATCGGATCTCGGTGGCAAAATTGGATGAACTTTGGGAATACCAGCTAAAGGTTGATTTCCCTGAAACAAAACAGGAAGAACAACTTGGCCTATCTAAAGAGGATGAACAATTTATGGAGTCTGTCTCGGAGTCAGTCAGGTTAGTGAATGGCCATTATTGTATTGCTTTGCCCATGAGAGAAAAGGCCCTCAACATGCCGAACAATAAAACCGTTGTAGAACAGCGTGCGCAGAGTCTTAAGAAACGTTTGACCAAAGATTTGTCTTTTCGTCGTGATTATGTTACGTTCATGTCAGGGATGCTTGCCAGTGGTTACGCTGAGCTAGTTCCATCTGACCAGTTGGCTCGTCATGATGGGAGGGTGTGGTACGTACCTCACCACGGTGTGTACCACCCTCAAAAGAAAAAACTGCGGGTAGTCTTTGACTGCGGAGCCACTTTTCAAGGCACCTGTTTGAACTCCCAACTTCTTCAGGGTCCTGACCTTACTAGTCTGTTGGTCGGTGTCCTCACTAGATTTCGTAAGGAACCTGTTGTGCTTATGGCTGATGTTGAGGCCATGTTTCACCAGGTCCGGGTGCCAGCTGAAGACTGTGATTTGTTGAGATTCCTGTGGTGGCCTGATGGAGATTGCAGTCAGGAGCTCGCGGAGTACCGAATGGTAGTACATCTGTTTGGTGCAACGTCCTCTCCGAGCTGTGCCTCTTTTGCTCTTCGGAGGTGTGCTGAGGATAATCGTGACCATTTCAGTCCTGCGGCTGTCAGTACTCTGTTGCACCATTTTTATGTTGATGATTGCTTGGTGTCTGTTGCCTCTGAAGTGGAAGCAATGGCTTTATGTCAAGAACTTAGAGCTCTGTGTGCTAAAGGTGGGTTTAAGCTTACAAAATGGGTCAGTAATCGGCGCTCAGTTCTTTCTGCTATTCCTCCTGAAGAGAGAGCCAAAGAAGTGAAAGATCTACATTTAGACAGTGATGTCTTGCCTATAGAGCGAGCTTTGGGCGTGCAGTGGTGCGTGCAGTCTGACTTGTTTAAGTTCAAGATCACACTCAAAAATCGTCCGCTGACGAGAAGAGGAATCCTGTCAGTCATCAGTTCAGTTTACGATCCTCTTGGTTTTTTAGCACCTGTCATTTTGTCCGCCAAGAAACTTGTCCAAGATCTTTGCAGGAGGCGTCTAGGGTGGGATGATCCTCTGCCTCCTTCAGTGGCTAGAGATTGGTTGGCCTGGCTGGAAGATTTGCATCTCCTTGAACACTGGGAGGTCAGTAGGTGCCTGAAACCTATGAACTTTGGTGATCTTGCTTCTGCACAGCTTCACCACTTTGCGGACGCAAGTGAGGAGGGTTTTGGAACCGTGACCTATCTGTTACTCCGTGACATCAGTGGCAGAGCTTACTGCGCATTTGTGATGGGTAAGGCACGTGTGGCTCCACTCAAACCTGTTACCATCCCCCGTATGGAGTTGACAGCTGCGGTGGTGGCTAGCAGGATGGACAAGCTGTGGAGAAGGGAGCTGCAAATGGAGCTCAAAGAATCAGTGTTTTGGACGGACAGCACTTCTGTTTTGAAATACATCAAGAACGAGACCTCGAGGTTTAAAATCTTCGTAGCCAACAGAGTGTCTGAAATCCTCCAGTTTTCCGACATGTCCCAGTGGAGGTATGTGAACACAGTGGACAACCCGGCAGATTTGGCTTCTAGAGGTGTCAAAGTTGAGTCTTTCCTGAGAGCTGGTGTTTGGCTTTGTGGTCCTGATTTCCTTTCAGGATCGGAAATCGAATGGCCGACAAACCCAGAGGCTGTGGCAGAGTCTCTTGTTGGAGACCCGGAGATTAAGGTTGTGTTGACGAATGCTGTGCAGGTCGAGCAGGAAACTCCAGTAGACAAGCTCATCTGTCACTTTTCCTCCTGGCTCGGATTGAAGCGGGCTGTTGGTTGGTTCCTCAAGTTCAGAAACTTGCTGTTGTCCTTGGTGCAGCATAGGCAGCAGTTGAGAGAGACTCTTGTGGGGTCAGACTTGAGTCCTGCGCAACTGGAGAAGGAACTGAAGATCCAGATGGAAAATATTAAAAGTAAAATGTCTAAGGACTTGCTGTCAGTGGAAGATATGGTTGCAGCTGAGAAAGCCATTGTTCACTTTTGTCAGAGACGAAGATATCCCGAAGAGTTCGCTTATTTGGACAAAGGAGAATGTGTCAAAAGGACGAGCCACCTCTACAGGCTGAATCCCATTTTGGACAATGGTTTAATGAGGGTTGGAGGAAGGCTTAGTAGATCTGCTTTGCCAGCTGAGACTAAACATCCAGTTATCTTGGCTAAAGACCTGCACATCTCTAATCTTATTCTTCGTCACATCCATCAAGGAACTGGTCATAGTGGACGTAACCATATGCTTTCTCACCTGCGTCAAAGGTATTGGATTCCAGGTGCGTGTGCTGCCATTAGAAAGATCCTGGCTAAATGTATTGTCTGTCGCCGTTTGTCTGCTACACCTGGAAATCAAAAAATGGCTGACTTGCCTTCTTGTAGAATCACCCCAGACGAGCCTCCATTCAGTCATGTTGGTCTAGATTGTTTTGGGCCATTTGATGTAAAGCGTGGTCGTGCTATGGTCAAGAGGTATGGCCTCATTTTCACTTGTCTGGCGATACGTGCTATACACCTTGAAGTTCTGTCTTCGCTAGACACGGACTCCTTTATCAATGGTTTGCGAAGGTTCATTGCCAGACGTGGTCAGGTCCTGGAAATCCGTTCGGATAATGGTACCAACTTTGTGGGCGCTGAACGTGAATTGAGGGAGGCCTTGGAAAAGCTAAACCACACTCTTGTTAATAACACCTTGTTGCAAAAGGGCGTGAAGTGGGTTTTCAATACCCCTGCCGCGTCGCACCATGGAGGCGCTTGGGAGAGATTAGTCCGTTCAGTTCGTAAAGTCCTGAATTCCATCTTGAAGACTCAGACCCTGGATGAGGAAGGGTTGGTGACTGTGTTTTGTGAAGCAGAAGCGATTGTTAACAGCCGTCCTATAACGAAGGCATCCACGGACCCTAAGGATTTGGAGGCGTTAACCCCCAACCATCTATTACTCCTCAAGTCACAGCCATCATTGCCACCTGGTCTGTTTGAGAAGGCCGATGTATATGCCCGTCGCCGTTGGAAGCAAGTACAGTATATGTCGGATCTTTTTTGGAAGCGTTGGTTAAGAGAGTATCTTCCTAGTCTTCAAGAGCGCCAAAAATGGAATCATGTTAGGAGGAATTTTACGCCTGGTGACCTTGTCATGCTCGTGGATGAGATGGCACCACGTGGCTCGTGGATTACAGCAAGAGTTTTAGATGCTGTTCCAGATAAAAATGGACTTGTGCGCACTGTGAGGATTAAAACTAAGTCGAGTATTTTGGACAGACCAATCACGAAAGTTTGCCTTCTGCAGGAAGCGGAAGAACAGTGACCGTTATGGACTCTTTCTTTTTGTGGTTTAGTATGGTTTCTCTTCTGTCTCCTACAAGTAGTTGGTGGTGGGTAATTATTACTAGTTAATAATTAGGGGCCGGTATGTAGGAGCCATTCGTGGGTGTTCTATTGGTTTCCTCACGTGACCCATGTGCACTATACTGCGGTGTCTGGGGGCGGCACGGTGGGTGTGGTGTGGCCTATATATGCGCGCGCTCACCTGCTGAGTGGAAGGCCTTGTATCATGGTGGCGGGGTGAGCACGGGGAGCAACTTTCTGTTGACCGTATTTTAACAGGAAAGATTTGCATATAGAAGCTATCGGTGCATGGCTACGGACGGCAGCAGCTTTACAGTAAGTGCTCTAACGCGTACGCCTACTATGACAATCAAGTACCGTGTATATGCATTTGTTCAGAGTTACGCGTCCACAGTGTTTTACCCCGTGTCTTAGCCCGCCGCGGCGTGTGGGATGAGCATTGGGCTACATACGCCGCAATAATGACTCTGACAGAAGCCCATCGTGGACTCCTGATATGGTGTAGAGCTTCTGAGCTTGTCAAGGACGGATTCAGAACTCATTATTTTAACCATGTTACTTGGTTATTTAAGTGTGTGTGTGTGCGTGTGCGTGTGTGTGCGTGTGCGTGCGTGCACACCTGTTCTAGTTTCTTGTTATACAATTTATAGCCCAAGTTTAAATTGCACTTATTTATCTTATAGGTCAATTGTTCTTTTGCAAAACATGGACCAGGACATGGCCCTCCTTCTGATGATCCACATCATGTGTATGAGGACATGTTATGAGATAAGATTCATACCTGTGTATGAAGAAATGTCATCCTGTCACCTTGACGATGACAACAACAACAACAACAACAACAACCTGCTAAAATACAGTCAAAGAAAAGCCTCTGACGTCTTGTGACGTCTGTGATGCTCATGTTGCAGCACTTGGCAGGACTTGCCCAGAGCTCCTATTGCCTCTTCTTCTTCTTCTTCTTCTTCTTCTTCTTGTGACATTGTGTCATTTCATGTGCATATTATTATGATTTATATGTTTTGTAATTCAATCCCCAATAAATGATTTTCTTTGTTTTTAACCTTTTGTATGTGTTACAAAAAAATGTAATAAATAAATAAATAATTATGCATAATAATAATAATAATAATAATAATAATAATAATAATAATAATAATAATGTAATATACTGGACTCATCTGACACACTTTGGCTCTCTTTGTCTCCCTCTGGTGTTCATTTGGAATCTGTTTTAACCCCAGAGGAGGACGCTTCCACATTTAATAAAAAAAAAAAAAAAAACTCACGCTCTCTAAATGACCACCAGAGGGAGACAGAGCGAGCCAAAGTGTGTCAGATGAGTCCAGTATATTACATTATTATTATTATTATTATTAGTAGTAGTAGTAGTAGTAGTAGTATCATTATTATTATTATCATTATTATTATCATCATTATCATTGTTATTACAATACAATCCTGGACTCATCTGCATTCTACACTTCTTCATCTACACTTTGGCTCCGCTTTGTCTCCCTCTGGTGGTCATTTATATTTGGAATCTGTTTTAACCCCAGAGCAGGACACTTCCACATTTAATTTCAGGGTAGCACAAGGGTTAAGAAGTGATCCTATTATTTTTAAAGTTGTCATGCTTGTCAGTGACCATTTAGTAATGCAGTATTAAATGTGAGAGAAAGTCTTCACTTCACTATAATTTGATACATTTTGATACTTTTTTTTTTTAGGGTGACAATGCAACATGTGTCCAAGGACTACAGATGAAAATGAGCCTTGACCTAAATCTGGAACATTTACAGAAATGTTCATTAATGTACATTGTCCGTGTCAAATAAACAAATAAATAAATAAAATGCTTGATTTAAGTGTTTTAATGTGAGTAACATGAAACAGATAAAGTTACACTCACACACGCTGACATCACCATTCACACCAGGATTCACTTTAGACAATAAAATACAGGTTTACAGCAGGAGAGACTAGAGAGTTTATGCACTGACATTTTATTTTAAAAAAACAAAAAAACATCCCTCAGCATTCTGACTCACTGGCAGAACTATGGGCAAGACAACAGAATAAATGTGTTTGCCTCATTTCTGTCCATGGAACTTTTTTTTTTTTTTTTTTCTCAAATTGGCTTTAAATGGCAAAATGGAAACTGAAAGTAGTTTTCACCTTTTTCAATGCAATAATTATGTCTCATTTTTATTACTGTATAACCTGCTGGTTCCAGGCAGGAAAAACTATCCTTGAAACCATTGGAATCACTCCATAAACAAACCTTAAAAAACCCAAACCAGAAACCACGACAACACCAGCTTAAAGTGTATCAGTTTGAAATCAAGGCTGCCAACTTTCCCAAAAACATATGAGTGAGATTTGGGCGGGTGGGTGCGACCCAGGGCGCGCCCCTGCAGATATGGTGCCAGATGCAGTGGAACACAACACATATGCGTGGGTTCAGGTCAGGTCTCAATATTTGGTTCATAGTAGAATAGTAAAATTCTGTGCAGTTGCGCTGATCTGAATCCTTGTGAGGTGTGGTTGATTATTCCAGGGTCTGCAGTTACTGCGACAGCCCTAGCTCAATATCACCTATCAGTGATTTTTTTTTTTTTTGAAAAGTTCCATATCTTAGCTTTACATGTTGATTTAATAGATAGGGTGAGTTGTTGCACAGTTGTAGGGAGTATTATCTGTTACATAAGGATGAGTTGTTGTACAGTTGTAGGGAGTATTATCTGTTACATAAGGGTGAGTTGTTGTACAGTTGTAGGGAGTATTATCTGTTACATAAGGGTGAGTTGTTGTACAGTTGTAGGGAGTATTATCTGTTACATAAGGGTGAGTTGTTGTACAGTTGTAGGGAGTATTATCTGTTACATAAGGGTGAGGTGTTGTACAGTTGTAGGAGTATTATCTGTTACATAAGGGTGAGTTGTTGTACAGTTGTAGGAGTATTATCTGTTACATAAGGGTGAGTTGTTGTACAGTTGTAGGGAGTATTATCTGTTACATAAGGATGAGTTGTTGTACAATTGTAGGGAGTATTATCTGTTACATAAGGGTGACTTGTTGTACAGTTGTAGGGAGTATTATCTGTTACATAAGGGTGAGTTGTTGTACAATTGTAGGGAGTATTATCTGTTACATAGGGGTGAGTTGTTGTACAATTGTAGGGAGTATTATCTGTTCATAGGGTGAGGTTGTACATTGTAGGAGTATTATCTGTGGTACATTGTAGGGAGTACTGTTACAATTTGTAGGGGAGTATTATCTGTTACATAGGGGTGAGTTGTTGTACAATTGTAGGGAGTATTATCTGTTCCATAAGGGTGAGGTGTTGTACAATTGTAGGGAGTATTATCTGCTACATAAGGGTGAGTTGTTATATAGTTGTCTCTCAATGAAGATAGAAAAGTTTAATACCATAGTGTGAAACATTTCAGACAAATCAATAACACCTGAAAAGTTACGCAGTGTACCTTTAAAACAACCCCATCCACCTTTTTCAAAAGTGCTTCTAAGTTCGTGCTGTTTTGTAAGGTGCATTAGTGTCTGTCGATACCAGAGCAGACACTGAAAACAGCATTTATTTCCTTTAAACTAAAATAAAATAAGACAAGACTGAAGTATTATGGAGCTGTTATTGATCTCTTAAACTACTTTTCTATAGATAAAAGTTCTAAACATTCTGAGACTTTCTGGGCTGACTATGACCAGTAAATAGTCTTATTATACAGCTGTTTGTGTGTCTAACCAGGATATCGACAGAACCGATATTTGAAAGCCGATATCCGATTCAGCAAATGTTTCAGAATCAGCATCGATATCAATACTGGACCCCTATTTACTGTTCATCCAAGTTTCTCCTTTGACTTCACTTTTCTCTCCAGTTGCCTCCTTTCCATAATGTAGAAACCTTTAAAGGGTCAATTTAATGATCAAGTGCAACATGAGGATTGACTTTTGACTTCTGTTACAGTTCAATATGAAGAACCTGAAAAAAAGTCTTCTTTAAAAGGTGCTATAGAGGCTTGTCACGTCACGTGACCCCTATAGCAACGGTACCTACGCCGCCATGACACTGGGCACACTATGTCATTGACTTCAGTAGAGTCAGAGAAACATGGGCAGGTTTTGTTGTGTATTTGGTTGTTCTAGACCAGGGGTGTCGAACTCATTTTGGTCCGGGGCCGTATCCAGCCTACTTTGATTCCAAAGGGGCCGGATCAGAAAACTCATGGCATATAAACCCCAAAAACAGCAATAAGTTAAAATATTTGTGCAGAGAAACGCAAATCTATTACAGAAATCTTTTTTAATTGATGAACTCTTTCTTTTACAAAATATTATAATATTATGAAAAAAAAAAAGCTATTTCAACACAATGTTTTAACATTAACTTGAATGCAAATAGGAATAAGTCAATTTTTCTGGTAAAATCCTGCACTCGGGTCCACTTTTCTCATTTTTGACATTTTGCTGATGAGGGTGTCACATTCAACAGTCAAAACAATCATCCTTTAAGAGCGTTTGGAAAGAGACAAGTCTTCATTTGTGCTGCTCTGGTGGGAGGGGCCACGCACAGAGGCACGGGAGACACAGCTATGCTAAGCAGAACAGAAAATTACCAATATTTTAATAGAAAATATGATTAAAATATTTTAGTAGAAAATCAGCCGAGGGCCAGATTAAAGGTCTTAGAGGGCCGGATCCGGCCCCCGGGCCTTATGTTTGACACCTGTGTTCTAGACGCTCTGAAAAGGATAAAACGAATCATTTCTTCACTGTTCCTCTGGAAATGACTCATCAGGATCAAACAAGGGAATTATCGAAAAAAAGACACGGATTATGGCTAGAGAACATAAACCACGAAGAGATTTCCTGTGGTACCATCAAGACACACTCACGTCACTTTCATCAAGATATTTGCTATTTAAATAGTTTCATAGATTATTTAATGAAAGAAACACATTTACTGAACTAAAATTTCATTAACTTATCCAGGAAAACCCGCACTAATTTACAATTCAACGAACCCACACTGGGCTCCTATGATCAACATGACGCACGAGTCGAAGAGTCTGTGATCCGAACCTCGAAAGAATCGACCATGAAAAGATCCTCACAAAAAGCGATTAATTGTAGAAGACATAGTTGTGGATAAGCAAGACAATAAAGAAAACATGGGTCCTACGACGAGTGACATGTTTATATGTGCGCTGGAAGATACAGTTTCTACTGCCACTCACACTGCAAATGTTTTCTTTTTACATTTTAGTTCAGTAAATGTGCTTCTCTCATTAAATAAACTACGAAACAATTTAAATAGCAAATACCTTGATGAAAGTTCAGGTGTCTTGATGGTACCATAGGAAATCTCTTCGCGGTTTATGTTCTCTAGCCATAATCTGCGTCTTTTTTTCCAATAATTCC